CGCATGCGCGCGTGACCGCAGCACATACTCATGTTGCTGCAATTCGTCGAAGTGACAGGTTTCTTAACCTGGAAAGTCGTCAACTTTGACGCTAAATATCTCGTCTCGCGGAGGAGAGCGACAATTTTGCGAGAGGAAAAAGTTTTTTTTAAAAAAAAACGCGTCGAAAGAGCCTAATTGGATCAAAGTCGGAGGTGAGGCAGTGATAGTAAACAATTACCACAATTTTACTTAAAACAAGTATTAAAATTGTAAATTAAAATTAATAAACTTTGAAGATAAAAGAATACTAAAAGAATATTAAATATTCAGTAATGTATTGCAAATTTATCTATTTCTATATATTTTTAGGTAAAACCGTTCTTACCAATTTCTCAAATATGTAGTTTTACAGCATCTCTCAATAATATTTGATTCAGACAATGCTTCTTAATTACGTATGTAAAACATACTATGTGATTATTACATTCCATTTGCAGTAGTGGTAAAAAATTTGTGTCCTTGGGTGATATAGAATTATAAGATCTAAAATATATAAGAAATAATTAGAATACTTATACGCCTTCTAATATTAATTAATTAATATTATGTGTGCTGCTCTTTCTAAAAATCAGAACACAGGTTATATTTTGTAAGAATGGTTCGCTATTTCGGTTTTTGTAAACAACAGTATTACGCACCTCGTGATATGTATAAAAGTTTTCCTTATTCAAGATAACAAGGGAAGCGTGCTCACCATATTTAATCGCTCACATATTTTGTTATCAAGCTCGTCGAATTAAACGATCAGAGGTAAAAAGACAAGTATTAGCAGGAACAATAACGACAAAAAGATGGCGGTTAGAAAAATCAGATTTATCTACAAACGCGTTTAAATTTTTGCTAATTGCGCATTTACACTTTCTATGACAAGTTATATCGGATGTGTTGATTGGCTGCTGGATAGGGAATTTCTGAAATCTGCAAAGAATTGGTTGCGACCTTGTAAATCTCTCCAGCGGATAACCAATCAGAACGTTTGATACAACTAGTTGCTGAAAGTAGCGCTGTTAGCGACAAACGGAATATAGCATTAGTTTTCGTAAATTCTCGCGCGAGGACGGGTGTTTCTCGTATCGTCGTGCTTCTTGTCGCTGATTTTATTAAATTAACTGACGCTAAAAGAGATACGCGAGAAAGAACAAGTACCGCGTGTGACGATATTATTGAAACGATATTGCGTTCAGAACAATAAATATCATAATTGAGCAAATTTCACTCGTAAACGCGGTTTGACTTTGTGACCATGTCCGCTCTTTTTTAGCATCATTTTGCGATCGCCGTGTTATTCGCTTTTTATAGATTCGGTATTTTTACGCGCGTCTCAGTTTTCATTACTTATCGCGTGTGATCAGATGCTTTCCGTAACATCGCGCATTTTGTCGTCAATTTCGTGGAATCGAGTAAAGCCAATAATATGAAGTGGTAGCAGCAGTTTGAATAAAGTCGTTTCAAATTAAACGCGCAAAACTTCAGTTTGCTTCTTGCCATTTTCGCATACAATCAGACGCGTCTCGTTTCATCGCGTATTCCGTCACAGATTTCGCCGAACCGAGTTTTGTCAGAAGTGAATAAAAAATAAATCCCGCAATAAATGTTTTGAAATGGTAAAAAGTATTGTGTCGCGAGTGCTTGTGTATTTGTGGTAAGCGGTATATGGAGCATGCCGAGGATAAACATCTGATCATCTCGACGCAGCAATTCGAGGAAACAGAGCTCGACGCTATTCCAGGAATTCTTACGCGCTACTGGTAAGTGAAAGTGTTTTTGTTGTGCCGTTGAGAGACGAATATTTTGATTTTCGTAAAACTGAATTTCTTTCGCAGATATAATCTATATCGCACATGTTGACTAAATATATTTTACATTTTTTATTAATAAATTATATAAAAAAATAGTTTTTACAGAAAAAATTAATTTAATAAATATTTTGGAATGTATGCTCTATATAAATATTAAAATTTTTTAAACCTGACAACGGATTTAGCACGAGAAAGGCACTCACAATGTTTTATATTTTTTACACATTTGTGGCTATAAAAAATAAAATGTGTTTCTTTAAATATTTACTTCGATTACCGAATAATAAAAAATATTTCTACAAATAAAAAAAAATATAGTTTATTAAGTAAAAAGACGACAAGTAAATGCCGTACGTAATATCATCTGTTGATGTAAATTGCCAAATAAATTAAAAATTTTTTAGTATGCCATTATTTTTCTTAATTCAATGATACATTTTTGCTAAATATAAATTCAAATATTTTTTGCTTGAGATGATTCTATTAGATAATCAAAGTAAAAATATAATGAAGTGGGATAAAGATAAAAAATAATTGTTGAGATTCAAGTTGACCATATCATTGATACGGCATGCTTTTATTATAAAGCATCTACATGTTCTTTTTTTCAATAATACAGTTTAAAGCAAATGACCGTGAGAAACGAATTGGATAATTGATATAGTAATATAAACGTAAATCTTTCGTTTCTTGGCCAATTATCCTTACATAATTTTTTTAGCGAGTATTGTGCGTATTTAGAATGTTAATTATAAATAATTATACGTTTTACAGTATACATTCGATATTATAACTTTCATATTAGCACTAAACAGTAAATTAAATAAGATTATTCCACTGATTTAATTGCTTGTGCGATCAACTTTATGTTAATAAAGTCATCATTCGTCTTGCAACGAGCACTTGTATACTTATAAGTATATATTTCTCAATATTTTTTGGTACTATTATGCGTGTCTACTATTTGTGTGTATAAATTGCCTAGATTTGCTAAGTACAAAATAAGTTTCGACGTTCACGTATCATTAACGTGATATTGCAAAATGTAATCGATAGATCTGTACAAACTCGACTCTTGATCGAACATTTGGCAGCATTTGTTAATCTTTGTCTTTTCCTCGAATATCGATAAAAATTACGTGACGAAGAGAGTGAAGTAATCGTGACACAATAAATATTTAAATTTCCTTATAAATAGACAAATTTATTTTACTTAAATTTTAATTAATTATTTAATTACATTTATTATAAAATAAATAGGAATAAATTAATAATTTAAAATTATTATAATTTCGATCATAAATTCATAGCGACATAATCGATAATTTAAAATTCGAAAATTCTATGCTCTACATAATATATTAAGAGAGACCAAAATTGAACGAAATGTACAGACCTCACGGGAGTAAAAATTTCTATTTTGAATATGTTTCAAAAATAATCTACGCTTCACACGTCTATAATACTGTTCCGTTTTTTTTCCACATCCGCGGAATCCAAATCATTGCCGAGACTGCCCACACGGCCTCTCAATCCGCCACCACCGCCGACTTGACCGGTTGCTTTGAGCTTTTCTTGCATTTGCGCCAGGATATCTTGCATCCTTCGTATCTGCGAATCGCGAACGTGAATTTAATAGCAAACGGTACATACGCGAAAAAATTTTGCTGTAAATTACATATTAAAAACGCAGTCGTTGAATTACGCGTAAAGATTATTGCTCTCACCTCTTCGTCCTTCTGCAAAAGGAGTCTGTCCGTGTCAGAAATACTGTTCTCGAAATGTGGTCCAGAATCTCTTTTTAGTTTACTGTAAGAAAAAAATAATCGTATGTATTTCGGATTATACGAAAGGGGGACTAGAATCTATCTATCAAATGCAATCAAAGCTGTACGGTAAAGAAAAGAATATCGTGCATTTATATAAGGAAATATCAAATTTACAAATTTACTCTTCAACTTTTTAAGTAACATAAAAATTAATATAAAAATTTTTTAAATTATAATATTATACTATCGAGAGTGTTACAAACTAATTATGGAAACTTTTGCAAATACTTTAAACAATCTACTATAGCAAATACTTTTAATAATCATGCAAAGCGTACAGGATATTCGAAAAGATATCAAAAGATATCAAGATCTTTTCAGGAATTTAATTAATATGTTGCACATAGCAACAATCTAAGTATGAATTTTTTATATCTTCGAAGTTGCAAAATGCAGATTACGGTAAAAATTATTATATCCATCGTAGGACAGTTCGAGACACCCTTGTACGCATTGCGAACGCGCGATAAGCGTCCGTATATACCTACTGAAATGCAATATTTATTTACATGCGTAAATACCTCCGTTCCCGGATCGCTTGCTGCGAAATTTGTGAAATACATTGGGCTCGAAAATTCTCGTAGTGAACGTCTTGCGTAACGTCCTTTAGATCCTGCATGTGCGTCGATATTAGCATCGTCCTTAGTTTGACGAAGTCACTGTGCTTCGGGTTCTCGACTATGATCAATCAGAATCGAGATGGTAAAGATCGTGCACCGGCGCGCGAAAGCCAGAGGCGCAATTTAATTCAACCCCTTCAGCTTTCGAATACGCTAATTGACGCCGACGATTGATTATATTCGTAAAAGAATTAAGCTTCAGAGACTCCTTTGTCAATTACGATCTTAATTCTTAATCGCTTTTATTCCCTACTTGACAATTTGATCAGAAAAAGCTGCTATTATTCCTCTAATAAGCGGCAACGAGCGCATTAAAGCTGTTTTCAATCGACAATTCTTTTGATACTGAAGTGTGCTTCTAATTTTTTTCAAACAATGCTCATTAGCAAGGATTTAAGCTATAATAAAAATTAAATCACATTCCTCGACGCTCGAACACGTTTTGTTATAAATTCGTGATAATTTATTTTCACCGGCTGTTCGATATTCATTAAAAAATTATTTTAATTATACTTACCTCGCGCGCAGTACAATCGAAAAATATTAATTTTATGTAGAATAGAAATGTTCACCTTCCACTACGCCCCACGGATATTGCCGGCCGCGAACTTTTCTCCCGGCAACCTCCAGCACCGTCGAACTTCCGACGACCGCGAACGGTATACAGGCTTTCAACTCCTTATCTTGCTGCTTGAACTCCTCGTCCTCGTCGCTGTCGCAATCCGGGAATTGGTATATCTGTGCAAAAATTAACGAAGATTTATTGTCATTTAATCATATACATATATAATATCTCGGAAAAGTTGATAAACCTAAATTATCACGTTTGTAAAAAAACTCGCTCGATCATTGAAAAATGTGATTTAATTATTATTATTACAAAGTCAAACTTTTCAAATGAATATTGGAGAATACATTAATTATTATGAAATTCATTATTTATGAGTGAGGAAAAAATTGTTTTATAAGATATAAAAATACGCAACCTGGATTTCGTGTTCTTCGATATCTGCCAAAATGCGTTCCTTCAGCTTTTTCACCTCGTGAGTAGTTAAAGTATCTGCCTTCGCTATCACAGGAACGACATTAACTTTTCGATGTAAACGCCTTAATACCTCGAGATCAAGTTGTCGGAGGCTTCAAAAAGATCATTAATATTAGAATTAAAATGATAATTAAGTTTGATATTAAAATTGCGTTTAATTTTATCGTGAGGTGAAAAATAATTTTAACGCTTAATAAAAATGATAAATATGAAATTAGATGTTTATATTTCATCACGTACCCGTGTCCGTACGGTGGTATAAAGTATAGGCAACAGTGTACTCTATTGTCTTGGATATTTTTCCTATTTAATCCGCTTTCGTCCGTGAAATATTGACGAAACTGCTCGTCGATGTAAGCCGAGCATGCCTTCCATGTATCCTCACAATTTACTGCATCGCCGAATCCTTGAACGATATTGTTACTTGTTTCAGAATTATTTGACAAAATCGGTATTATCGTCGGTATTATTGCAAAAACCGTTTCACACAATTAGTATCATTATCTATAAAATAAATTTATGTAAAATCGAAGAATCGCTATTTACAAATTGTTTTTAATGATTAATGCAATTATTGACGTTATCTTTTATTTTTCTCGTCGTTTATCGAATTATCTGTTGAATTATTTTGATATTATTAATAGATGCGCAATTTGTTTCGTATGAAAAGAAAAAAACTGGGCGACATTTCTCACCTGGCGTGTCTACGATCGTTAAGCGGAGCCGAACGCCGCGCTCTTCTATATCCATTGTCTTCTTCTCGATAGAGGTGGTCTTAGCCACGCGTTCTGAAAGTGGACGATGAATATTTATCGACTACTCGTAGCCGGGACGAGCGGTTTACCAACGATGCAAGCTGATCAAATATTTTCCGCGTGTCAATAACTCATGGAGAGTGTGCGGAAAACTTTGGAACAGCGATTATTCGGTTGCGTCACGCCCTTGCTGTGTCGCAATTATTCCGATTGGTCACCGCATAATGTTCAATCGAAAAACCAATTATGATTTCGACCCGACGGACAGTATTTATTTTGCAACAACCTCCGCATAAATTTATATAATTAAATGCAAAATTGTGTGTATCGCGGGCTTTCAGTGTATTTTTTATAAAAAGGCTGGACTTTTCATAAAACGCCGCCCTACAAAAATACGGCGCTTTATGAAAAGGCTTTTTATAAAAAGACTGAATTTATAAATATATTACACGCACCTGCCGCATCCGGGATTCGCCGGTCTTTGTACAGGTCCCCGAGGAAGAGGCTATTTATCAGCGTCGACTTGCCAAGACCGGTCTCACCCAATACCATCAGGGTGAACTCGAACCCCCTCTTCACCGATTTTCGGTGCACTTGCTCCGGCAGTGTCGCGAAGCCGATATAATCCCTGTCTTACTGAGCGAAACAAAGGATCATTAATATCACGGCATCAATAGTTAGTTAAATCTCTCGCTGAGTTTTTTTATCTTTTGCAAACAAAAATTTCGCGCTTAGCGAATAAATAGCTTTCAAACATATATTTATCGAACTCTAAACGTAAGTCGCGCAAAATTACTCGATATAATTATGAAACTTATAGATATCGCGATTGCATCTCGCTCGGAAACTATCGTCGATTATCAGCAATGCGGCGTACACGAGCGGTGTCAATAAATATCGCGTCTCTCTTCCCTGCATAATTCACGTCGCGACGAAGCGAGCCGCTTTCGAGAGGCTAGCTCCTCGAGAACGATCTCGCGGCTACTAATGAATACTTAAATAGGCGTGCGCGATGAGGATTTTTTTTTGAATAAAAAGTTTACGTACCACCGGACATAATGGCAGCATCTAAGGACGCTTCGGCGTGACGACGAGCATAACACAGCGGCCGCCGGACACGTCGGGCAAACGCACTAAGGCCGAGGGCGGCTCGTGAATGCTTCTGTTCGGCCGGTCGACTTGCGCTGGCGCACTGTCGACCGGCGATCAATAAGTTGCCCGTGCTCCTACGAATGCACTCCGGGGCGCGCACGCTGAAGAGGTTATAAGCCGAGCCGGGCGTGCACGGCGCGTGTAGAATAAATAGCAACATTATCAGCGCTCGCCGTCTTCTTTAACGGTTGTACAGGCGGAAGAGCGGAAATAATCGCTCAACACTGGTTGCGTTTGTCAGACATTTCGTTGATTGCTCTGCGTGCATTAGCAAACAGGGTCGCGGAAAAATAAACACAGAGATCTCATCATCGCAGTTTGATTCGATCGAATTCTTGGAAGGAATATCGACGAAATTGTTATATTGATATTATCTCGGATATTTCTTGCAATTTCGCATTATTTGCGAAAGTTTTATTGATTACAGATATATCTATTTATATCTATGCTAGATAAATTGGATAATTCCATGTTAACGTTTAGCGTTAATTTTAACATTCTATGAGAACAACGAATTTCCGGATTTGCCGGATTTGCTAACAATCGCCCGTAATTACTTGCAATGACCTGTAAAAGCGCTTGATGACGTGAGATCCATTATATCCCTGTATTTGCATATAATAATAATTAATTGATATGAGTTGTTTAACATCTGACGTTATCTTGTAGCAGCAATGAATTATTCGTATATTCGTAAATGTTAAGGTCGTTCTTGACGCGAAAGTTTTGAAACGTTCGCAATTTAATGAAAAACAATTTTTATTGCAACTTTGCAAAACAATTCGAAAACAATTATAAAAAGTATAAATTTGATTCGCTTAAATTATATATTTGATTGTTGAAATATTTATTAGGTAGAGGAATTTTCGCGTTAGAGATTCTCTTCTCGTCTTCACCGATCGGTTTTATTTTTTATACACGCCAGTACGTCGTTGACGTCATCCTTGGAGCCCAAGAAAATGGGCGATCTCTGATGAATGCTCTCCGGAACGATGTCCAGAATATCAATTTTTCCGTTTGTTGCCAGACCACCGGCTTCCTTGATAATGAAAGCCATTGGCACGCACTCGTATAAAAGTCGCAGCTGAAATTGCGGAATTACATTAGCATCATTTGCATAGCAGTTATCGCGTTTCATTTCTTGTACCTTAAATAAATAAAGTACGCTTTAAATCCTTTGTACTGCGCGATAAAATACGACGATAAAATAGTGCCAAAACATTTAAAATTAATTAATTAAACGCGTTCTTGTGGATACCGAGCCCATTAACGATATTTTGATAAAGAGTCCCAACTATTGTATTTGCCGGACGAAGTAACGTGCAAAGTCCGATAATTTTTCATGTGTTTACGATAGAAATTAACGGCACCGCGCCACACTGATCTAAGTTCAAACCGATTATTTACCGCCAGATAAAATAATTTCCAAAGTCCGATACTTTTCTGCACATTTATCGGATAAACGGCAACGTAAACAGCTGTTACAAAGCGGAGTTGTTGCAGCTATCAGTTATTTTATTACTCAATCCGCCCGTGGCGGATAAGTGCATCCGATAAGCACGTGATCAAGGTGTTTTGTAATAATCAGAATGAAAATAGAAAAACTAAGAAAATGCGAAGATAAAAAAAGAGAAGTAAAGGGATTATGACGCGAAGAGGGCGAGTGTGTGTCGTAATACATTGCGTTTATTATCGGTCTTGTCATGTTTCTGCCTCGTTTGTTATCTGCCTCGATTCGTTTCTCCGCGTCTGTATTGTGAAAGTTTTTCTTAAGTTAGCGAAGAGTTCAGAAGTTATCTTGAAATTATATACCTTGCCGTTGGGATTGCTCTTGCTCGCAGGATACAAGAAGATGCCGCCGTATTTAATCGTTCGGTGCACATCGGCGACCATGGAGCCCACATATCTAGCGCTGTAGGGCTTCCCGGTAGCGGGATATTTCTTGGAGTGTATATATTCCTTAATAGACGAGTCCCATGTGCTCTCGTTACCTTCGTTAATACTGTAAATAAATAATTACACGCGATTCCAATGCAATCGATAACAATCGAGTCCCTTAATTAATCGATTAGTTTAACGTAAATTATTTTTTCCGCTAACAGCGTGTAATTTTGTCGTGAAAATCTAATTTAAATTTCGCACATGATTATATTTTGTCACGTCATCTTATTTCGACACAAATATGAGCAATTCACGGCAATTGTTCGATGTAACGAATAGATTTTATTCTACACACTGCAAAAAAAATAAGTGCAAAATTAGAACTTGTAGCGAGCGATTTTAGGATCAACTATTATCGATGTAAATTTCTATATGAACGTAAATTTGCGAGCGAAATTAATTTCTAGTGTTATAATGGAACAGATTGCATAAGTAAATATATGTGTATGTAAAATAACTGAATTTACTTATGCAATCTGCTTCATTACAACACTAGGAATTAATTTCACCTGCACGTTGCAAATTTATATACGTGGGAGAATTTATACCTACAATAGTTGATCCCAAAATTGTCCATTATAATAATTGCAATTTTACATTAATTTTTTTTCACTACGCATTCTTTCTTTCTTTTCTTTTTTTTTCTTCATACCTATATATATTCCCTCTGTCGGGCATACGCATGTTCCTCTCGGTCAGTATAAATTCTCCGATGGCCGGGTCATACGTGAATCCATTAACGCCGCCGCCGATCGAGAGCACTATCATGGTCGCCGAGCCGTAAAGAGCGTATCCGGCCGCGATCAGGTTTCGTCCAGGCTGCAGGGCGGCCTGAACCGCGGATTCTCCGGATCGTTCGGCTTTTTTGTAAATTCCGAAGATCGAGCCCACCGAGACCAGGCAATCGATGTTGGACGAGCCGTCCAATGGATCGAAACACACGATGTACTTGCCGCTCTTCTCCGTCTCCACCTCGATCGCGTGCTGATTCTCCTCGCTTACGAGCACGCACGTGGTGTAAGAGGACGTCAGCATGTTGATGAAGAGCTCGTTGCTCAGGACGTCCAGCTTCTTGACTTCCTCACCCTGTACGTTGGTATTGCCGGCGATGCCGTACCTAAGCGAATTTGGAATGCATACGCGCGCGCGCGCGCGTGTTTAACAGCTGATTTAGCGTTCGAGCGAGCATTGCGTGGTCAATCGGATTAATATTCTGATTAGTCATCACTGGTGTATTAGCGACACTGAGATATTTTAATGAAATGGCTTTAGTTCTAGCGATATCAAATATTTAGTAGATGATATAAAAACAAATACAATTATTTAATAGAAAAAAAAACTAATAAAAAAAGAGCTATGAGAATCAAAGCGCGCGTGTAAAAAATTTATTACAAATCGATACAGAGTAATGATACAGAATTATTTAATAGGTATTGTGGGAATATAAAAAGAAAATAAGAATTATTTTAGTGACGTTATTGAAAAAAATTTAATGGCTTCATTATAACTGTTTAATTTTAATTCAATCCCGTGTGAAACTTTTGATAAGGAAAGTTTGTTACGGAAATTTGACAGGGAACGACCGGTTACGAAATTGTTTTATTCATGTTGACACAGTAAGCACCAGGCATTGCAATAATGGAGAATCATTTATATGTTATTTACATGCAGGACTACAGAATTGTCAGAGGGCATAGAGATTAATGTTTACTGGCGTGTATCGGCAGCTTGAGCATGACGGTAAATGCACAGCAACTGCGCGCTCGTCGAATACATTTGAATAAAATAGATGCATGCCGGTCGAGTAAACGTTAGTCACGCTTACGATGCTACGGAGACTTTACGCGTCACACTGTACAAGATATTAATCGAGTTCCGACCGCTGTGTGTTAAATATTTTTCGTGTCGGGCAGAATTGAAAAGTATTTCGTACCCTGCATATTATAATATATGAGTTTTCTATCTAACAATCGTGAAATAATCTTTTAATTGGAAATATTAACAGTATATTTATCAATATCAACACAATTGGAAATAGTAGGAGTATATTTATCAAAATACGTATAATTATCAGTATAATGAAAAGTAGAGTATAATTCCGAATTTAATAAAAATTATAAATTATAGTGGGATAAAAGTTAAAAAATATACATATCGTACACATTAAATATTTTAGAAATTAGAATATCTAACAGCGCATACTTTATTATACTTTTTCTTTTACATTTTTTTTTAATCAGAAAATGACGATTCACTCCAAGCGTGTTTGCTTTTATCACACACGGGCGATGCCGAATTTTATGCCGGAAACTTGTGTATTTACTTACATATTAGCGATACCGGCCTTTCTTACGGCCGAGCTGACGGCCTTCACGGCTGTTTGTATGCTATTTAAGAGCTGCGTGAGATCGCCGCTCGCAGTTGGCACTTTGCGCTGCTCCGCTAGCACAAATCTCGTCAGCGTCATACAGTCCGAGTCCATGATCGTGTTGTTCGACGTCATCGTGCCTTTCGATTTCGGATGAAACCGCGAGGGATTCAGCGAGAAGCGCGAGGCGGAGACTAAAACCGACGATGGCGGTGCGTTCCGTTATATAAGGTCGTGGCAACGTCAGCGGCACGCGTTATCGCGAGAGTGAAAGCAGAAGCGATATCGGAGTTTTCGTGCTCGCCGGTTTCCGTAGACTAAACGAGATACCGGTTTACGATAGGCGCAATCGTTGAACGGAGATACGCGTCTACGACACCGTCGCTCTTCAGTGCCTTAAGTGGCGTGCTAAACATTGGAACCAGATGCTTCGCTCGTTAATTATTATTTATTGTTTGATTAGTTCTGTAAATATTTGCAAAGTGCATATGGACTGATATACGTTCGTGTTACACATATTATACGAAGTGAAATAATAATTAACGATAGATTTGATCTTGGAATTTTTAACTTAAAATCAATTTTGTCGCGAAGAAAACAAAATTCACTTTTTGCAATCCGCGTTTATATTTTTTTCACCTTTCACGTATCTGTTACTTTATTTATTCAGTGGCATTCATGATGCATGTTTTCGATGTTTGAATTTCACGCGCGTCGGTTAGTTGCATTGATATTACGATGTATTTGAAAGAATTAAATCCGTGAAAAAACCGATAATCGCATAATGTATAGACAATAACGGACAGTTAATACGCGAATTTTATTTTATTTGCGCATCTGATTCTGCCGCGTTTTATTTTATCTCGCCCGCTTTTCGCACGCATTATTTTCACGGTTCATATGTCATCTCTGTATAACAGATGTTAATATATTCTATCTCGCTGCAGATGCGATCTTGTAAACAGAAAGTACTGGCTGCTAAAAAAAAGATATTATAGATTCACGTATGCACGCGGCAATCTCTCAGTATTTTACTATCCAAGCGTATATCGGGGTCGCATAAACCGGAACTGGGTCACATTAAGATTCGTTTCGCTGATTATGCATTATCTTTCCGTGTAAAAACATGAAGGAGGTCGCACGTCACTTCATATAATGTAAAAATCATTTCGTCACTTTGATTTCATCGGGAGATGTAAATCTCTACGATCTTTCGTGCACAGAAACCGTCTCGGAATCACGATCCATTCGAAATGTTGAAGGCACCATTGTACGGTTAATTCGTATTCAAGTTAATTTCGGAGTGAGTCTCGTGACAGATCAGACCTGGCAGCATCGGAGCTTTGTTGCGAATGCTGTTATTACGCCGCGCAGTGTAATTAAACTAAATGGCATATGATGAAATTAGCGTCGTAACGATGTTGGATCGATTGAACCGCGCGCGCCTAAATAATGGCAATTTACGGGCTCTTGTGTACGCAGTTGTTACTTTACGTTGCTTACGTAATTGCATTAATTATTCATTTCCTTTCTTGATGATTTCCTCCAGTTTACCGGTGGTATGATGAATATTTAACAAATGGATTGTGAGCGACTGTCAAAAATGTGCTGTAATAAATACTTTTATTTTTATTTCCATCGGTGAATAAATATAAAACAGCATCACAGTATTTGAAAACTGTCGCAGAGATAAGCGTAGGAATTATACAACATATATTAATATTTACTAAAATACAAAAGTTAATTGAATAATTAACTTTTGCCATGTATATATATAAATATATAATAATTAACAATTAACTTAACTACTTTTTTTACTTAAAAATTGTCATATCATTTTTGTCAATTGTCACATAATTACATTATTGTTCAATTAACTTTGTACAAATTATTACTAATATTAGTTTTAAATAATAAAGGTAATTATTTGATTAACTTTGTACAAATTATGTGAAATGTGTTTATAGTAATATTTACGTAAGTCACATTTTTCAGTATGTACAATTTGCAATCACATTTTCCGTGTTTACGTTCCTTTAAAACGCGGACACGTATGTTTGTTCTTTCGGGAACTCTCGAAAAATTTTCAGCTTCCGCGTTAAAAATTTCTATGAAATGTCGCACTTCCCGTCCTCGGACGTAAATTAAAATTGTAAGAATCGCGGTCGGTCGATGGTGCGCGTCTTCTCCACTCCAGTTGGTTTCTTCGGGTCAGATGCTCGTAACCAGCAGCGACACCGACATTCGCGTCGGTGTTTCGTAATTATTAAAAAGAGTGTCGTACCATACGACAATTCCGCAACGCGGACCGATCGTGGAGTGATTTCGGACGATCTACAAATCGACAAGTTTGAGTCGCATCGGCGTCGACACTGTATTTATAAATCGGCTTTCGTACTCGAACGGTCCGTGATGCCATTCGATCCGGAAATTTCGTATGACCTAGATAAAACAAACGCGCTTTTAGTACACATTCCCCTTTGCAATTTGCAGCGCGCGACGCGAAATGTTTGCCGAGGCTGACGCAAGCAATGCGTTTTCCCGCGGCTTTTCTGCTCAAAACCGTTTCGAGAATCAGCGACTCAATGGAAAAGTGTGATTCCGACGCTCGTAATTTCCACCGAGAGAAATTGGCTGTTAATTTCTCTATCAAAGCTGCTTTGTGAAGAGTCGGATAAATATTTGGCGTCAAAAAAGGTACAAATACGAGTGCAAAAGTATGAATGCGTGCTATGTTCGGAATAGAAATTTTAAAAATATACTCGAATGCCGGAGTCACGGAAACTCGTGCAAGCATTAACTGGAGGATAAACATTCATCTCTCGGTTAATGTTCATTAAACTGTCGCGACAAGTTACGGAATCATACTCTTCAATCCTTTACGAGGGGAGTAACGACGCCAACGGGAATCTCTCTGCGAGAATATTTACCCCGTCGGGAATTCATACTTGAGCGGCGACATCGTTATTTCATAGCCATGCACAGTCACGCATAGTCCGACATAGTAGCGGAATCTGCATATTATGCAAGCGCGTTGTCTGTTTCTGTTATTATCTTAGCACGCGATATACTTTCACGCGAACATCCGCGCATTTAAACCTCTCAACTTATTAAACATCCACGCTTAGCATGGATGAATAAAACATTGGTGGGAAAGAAGAGCATAGTTCTTTGCGCAAGACACACAAGTGGATTGTAAGCAAACCAGCAAAAATCGGTTTTTTCTTCTTCGCGCTATCCACCCATTTAAGGATATTTACATTTCGCTTTGGCTGTCTGTTGTGTATGAAAACGCACGGACAAGTGAAACGCAATAAGAATAACAATAGATCCGGTATCCGTAATAGTTTTCTTTCTATTTCTTGATAAATCCTTGACAAAACGGCATTATGAGAGAAAAGATAAGTGCTCTCGTTTTAAGCCCTTTTAGATGATTTAACATTTGCGGCAGAATTCAAGATAGAAGTCTATTTATAATTTTATCATTTTATATAATATGAAACAACTAAAGAATTGGAATACACGTGTAAAATGTATATATATCATTAATATATATTTTACACGTTATTATTGTGTGTTCTGATTTTTCAAATATTACCTCTGTTACATGGAATATAAAATTAAAAATAGAATTCCATTTCAAATTTTGTCGCGAGTTATACATCGTATAAAAGGAACATGGAAAAAAACCGAATAAATTTGCTAGTAATAAAATTCGGACGAATTCGCTGACTGAATGCCGGTTGCGCTATGTGAAACTTATCACTCGAGGCTCAAACGTACCACTCGGCTTAGCGAAACGTTTTAACTTTAATCGTAAAAATTTAGGGTAGAATCGTAAAGATTCGAGGCGCTTCCGATTTGCGTCGTTACTGCTTTAATGACAGACGCGTTATCTCAAATGGAGATCCACTTATCGCGATCCGACCGACTGGATCCCGAGGGTAATTCTGGAGAGAATTGTCAGTAGTATGAAAGTTTACGAACTGTCAGGACCAGCGTCTCGACCTCCATTTCGGAGAATCGTCGGCCGATGCAGGTGCGAGGGCCGAATCCGAAAGGCATATACGAGAAGGGATGCGCCTCCTTGGCTGATGGAAACTTCGTGTTGCCCCGCAACCATCTCTCGGGAATGTACTCCTCCGGTCGCGGAAACTGCGTAGGCTCCAACGTGAGCAACTCGTGAACAAGCAAAACGTCGTACTGCGGTGACACATAAAGGATCATTGAGATTTCGTTTATTCTGCAGAGCGTGCAAAAATCACGACCGGCGGAATGACGAAACTTATGAATTCACTGCGTAATTTATCGTCAATTTTCTCGTATCAAGAATGCTGAAATATAGATGGCCTTTAAAAGTGTGATTGAAGCATTTCTTTTTAGGAACTAATTTCAGCTTCAACATGAACAGATAATAAAAAATCAATATTTCTCATGGAATTTTAATAGAAGTTTAATTCGAGATTTGAACAAAAAATTTTATTAAGATGTTTAATAAAAAAATTATGAAATTCTGAAAAAAAGATGGGCATTTAATCAAATTTTTGTTAAACAAAATAGCTTTTAAATTTCTCAAAGAATCCGCGAATAAAGATATATTTATTCGTAATGTCATCTAGAATAGTTTTTTTCGAAATTTTTTATCTTGTAGCGCATTCAATACGCCAAAATGTAGACATCGACATTATTAGATCTCGATATAGAATGAGTCAATAGAGAATTCTACGAATTAGCAAAGATCTTGAAAGTAAGAAAAATACCACGCACCCCTTTTGGTATTTTGTATCCTCCTAAGCAAACATCCGTTGGCACGGTTCTAAGAGTACCAATGGCGACGGGAAACAGTCGGAGGGATTCTTTAATGCAGGCTTTGGCGTATTTCGTCTGACTTAAGACATTATGCGTAACAGGCGACGTTTTGTCCGGCAACACGGACATCACTTCCTCTCGCAGTTTTTCCTGTTTCTCTGGATTAGTTGCGAGGTAATACAATAAGCCGGCGGCCATGTTACCGGTCTGTAACAGATTTGTCATTTAAGTTTGCGCGGTGTCTAAAACGATCGTGTAAGCAATGTGCGGTTTCCTCTGTAAAAATTCAATATCTTATTTCTTGAATTTCTAGAATAAATAGAATTTCTTCAAGATTTTTAATACATTTAGAAAAAAAGGTGTATAAAGTATGAACTTTTTGTTTTTATTATTCAAAAAGTGATGAAATCTTTTTTCTTATTTTAATCGCAATTGACTTTGATCATTATTTACTTTGGCCATCAAGATTGTTTTGCCGGTCGGAATTGGAATGTCGCACTTACCGTATCAACACCTCCCGTTAGCATATCTAGCGCCATTATGTGAGCCGTTTGCTTGTCGATACGCAAGAGCTTTTCCAATACACTGTGGTCCTGCAGGTCCGTGCCGTCCGTTGTTTCACGTAGCTTCGTCTCGGCGCGCTCGATGTGTTTACCGATGATTCTAAAAGAGACCGTAAACGAAAATGCCGGGAGAACACGACGACGATTACGGCGGCGACGATGAGTCGCGCTTTGAAAACTCGTTATCGTTAAACATGCAGGATGGATGGATGTGCAAGCGAAGCTGTACGCGAAAGTGGCAGCGTAGAATGACACAAAGTATTAGTTTCTATTCTACAAAAAGTAATTAGCGTGGGACGACACACGGTGCATTATTGATAGTGAACTACTCGCAAGTACGGCAGAAATATATCGGGGATTACGGTAATGACGACGATGAGAAGTACCAAGTTCGCTCGTATTCGCGGCAGTTCGCGAGTAATACGCTGACGTGGTAGCGGCGTAACGAGTATAAGTTTCAATATTTACTCATTAAACGTATCCATCACACGGAAGAACTTCCTGAGATTCCGCGTATTGTACACCTTCCACAGAGACGGTAGGATCTCCAAACGGTATATGAGATCGAACATGTCGTGCACGCAATTAATCATTATTTGCGGTTCCGAGTCCGCGGTTAGATTAGGCCTTAGGCACCCCAGTCGGCAATTCATCGCGATCAAACATATTGCTGTTAATTACATAATGGCAGAATGTCACTTGTGATTGATAAGTCTGATATTAAAATAGCATGCGCCTCGTTTTTTTTTTTTTTAATTCTAAATTCCGATGATCTTGTTGTTGATAAACGTATCAAGATATTTATATAATTTATTGTATATTATTTTATATAATTTTTTAATATATTTTATATATTTTTTTCAAAGTGATATAAGTCTAATTTTGAAAAAATAAATTTAACAGTATTTTTAAATAAGATAAAATGCAAAATATCTTGAAACGAGAAAAATTATATTATTTAAAAAATCTGACTGAACTAATTTAGTTATTTTATCAATTCAATATTGATAAATCGAGGCTTATAAGTAAAATAATTCTTATACTTTATTTTCGAAAAAAAATTATAAGGCCGCATATCGTATCTTCCGGCTCATTCGCGCATACACTCACATTCCAAGGCCCACTTGTATAATTCGTTCAGGAAATTATCCGGCAATTCTAGCGTCTTGGGGTCCTTCAATGTACGCATCCTTTCCACGAAGTCGCTGGTCACTTTGCTGATCGGTGCGATGTGCGCTTGAACCATTCGCGGTTGCATCATGTACGGATTGACTTTGGAGCGAAAGTTGTGCCATATTTTACCCTGGCTGAAAGCAAGAGAAAGAGGGAGAGAGAAAGAAAGAGAGAGCCCTTTTCAGCAGGATAGGAGATGGGTACATCGTACGCAATTTACGTAGGCCTCTGTGTGTTTGACCTCCGTGGCTCTCTGTACACTCGCTGGACTATCGACCGTACAGGACACAAGGCAGGAGAGACGAGCGAGAGATAGATAGATAGAGAGAGAGAGAGAGAGAGAGAGAGGGAGAAAGAGGGTTAGGATGGTGAGATAGGGATGAGGGTTGCTTCGTCAGCTCGTGTCCCGTATTTTGACGAATTTTCGGAATATCGACGACATTCTCGCTTGACTGTATATCGGTCGCGCTGTGTCCAGAACAGTGTTGATTGAAAGCCGTAATAACTACATTATTAATTTAATGTTGTATTATTAATTCAACGCTTCGTTATTAATTTAGTAGAATTTATATTGCTTCAAAATAACCGTAATGAATAAATCGTTGAAACGATACTAAATACGTGGAAGAATATTGCGGCTCGAAAGTTGAAGGACTTGTATTTTACATTTTCAAAATTTTTATTGCGGTAATAAATGTTGAAGGTGGAAGAAAAATCAACACATGCTATCACCACATCACGATTACAAATCTATTCATAAGATTTGCAACGAAGCACTTTACTTTCCATTACGAAGATGAGTGGAAAAATTATCAGAACTTGTTTTTCATGAAAAAATATGTATTTTTTATAATAATTTAAAGAGCAGCTTATTTTTCTGTTTAATTACCATTACTTTTTAATATATTTTTTTTCCATGCACATTACAATCTGGCTTTTTAATTTCTTGAAAAATATATTTTGATACCCAAAATGCATAAAGGTTTTACGAAAACTTTTCAACTCACCTTTATACATGATTTCATTTTAAAATTAATCATCAGTTGCATTCATCTGTTTGCTTCCACTTTTAGCTCAAAAGACTTGTTAAAAATCTTCTTTAGCACAATTTAAAAAATATAAAAAAATATGCATGGAAAAATAATATATAAACGATATGAGAATATTGCAAAAAATGGAAATTCTCTTCCCTCTCATCAAAAAATGATTATATTTTTCTTAAGGCGCGCTACCTTGTTGGAAGTCCGTACATTTCGCCGTAGATATCCTTCCTGCTGGTGCGATAGTAATGCATGCATTCCATGCTCTGTCGTAGTGGCCACGTGCCTTCGTTCCGATACATCTTTTCGCATAGTTCCGGGGAGAATAGAAAGACGGTTGATCGGGAATTCAATAAGCCGTCCAATTTAACGATATTGCCATACTGTTCACGCAGCATCCGCAATCGCGTTATCATATTCGCATTGCCATATTCACCTGCATCATTTACGCCAATGAGTGTAGTCGCTCTTTTTACATTGATTGAAGAGATCACGGAAACACATTGCATTGAATCAGCAGATTTATTTATCAGACAACAAAGATATGTAGGTTTAAATGAATTAAATAACATTATTATTTCTGAATTACGTATAGAATTACACATGTTTAATCCCGCTTGAAGAGAAATCGTTGTATTTACACCCGAGTTTGAATAGTTAGTCATGATAAAGCATTATAAGCGCTCTTACCTATATACGGTATGAATCTGAACCAATTGCCAAGCACAGGCAACGCTTTCGGGCCGGGAATATCGTTGACCGATCGCGCGTTTTGCAAATCGTTGGTCGCGTTGGTTTCGCCGTGTTCGATCGGAGTCGCGATCGACCTCGCGCGACGTAGCATCTCCCATGGCGAGTGCGATCCATTGATCTCGCGAATGAGAAATCTGGCACGCATCATGCTCTATACTGGATGCCTTTGTCGTTCTGCGAAGTATCGATACCTATTTGTTGCAAACGATATTACTGAGAACAATCTCGCAAGATTATTTGCATACATATTGATTTCGACGCATTCAATATGTATGCGGTTACATTGACGGTTATTTACGGCGACGAATATGTAAAATTATGCCGTTGTGAATATGGGACGCGGAATATTAGTTTAGGCTAATGGAAAAATATCGCGAGCCACGCGTAGAATTTAAGGCACGAATAACGGCCGCACCGATGTCGAACTTTTCGTGATATACACGTCATATGTGTAAAAAATGAAAGACCAAGGTTGAAACTTTAATCTCGAGTAAGAGATTAAAATACAGCAATGTGGAGCAATTCTGGAGTACATTTTTTTTCACAGTGGAAGGGTTAATTCTTTTGCCACGGCACGTAAAACTATTTTCTCAAATAAAACCGAAATGCGCTACAATTACGACGCACTGTCCAAATTTAATTAACAAAATAATTTTATAAAAAAATTTTATATTTAGGAAAAATGTAAAAACTATGCTAGCGGCAAAATGCGCAATAAAAAACATATTTGAAATAATTGTTTTTCGAAATTGAATGAAATTCTAAACGTTTTCCGAAACTAAAAAAATACGTTCTAACACTTTAAAAATAATATCAAAGAATGTTTTGAATAGTTTGTATAAAATCTTAATTAATATTTCTCACTGATTGAATATTTCTTTTTAATTCTGGGAGATTGAATTTATTAAACGTTGAATTACTTTATATATAATTGTTGTAATATAAATTTTTTATACTTTAAATTCTGCTTGATCTTGCATAATTGCAAGCATAATTTCTCAAATGACAGCCAAACAATTTCAATAGTATCCTAATTGTCATTCTGCATACTAATCATTTTTTACTAATTGTAAGTAAACTTGTTATAAATTTGTGATGTTTAATATTTTATATTACAAATTAACAGCGTAAGAAGTTCACTTAGAAGCAAAAGTTTTACGTGTTTTTGCCGCGCTTCTCAATCCTAGCTAAATTAGTACATATACGGCTCTCGTGCGGCCAAAGACGAACGAGCCACCGCATAATATTTACAAGCGGTCGTCTTGGACCGACATTCAATTCGGACGTTGTATAGGCTGTAAAGCACGATAGAGGGATTTTCCGGCTGGTATCGAGTTATGGTCCCGGGGAGACCCAGAGGCCGCACACCTCTCCGCGCGCTGGACCGAAACAGCGCCGGGCGCCTCTCTATATCGACACACGTCAGCCCGCGTTATAGCGTAGAACGAGCCATGACGACGGGCCGAACGCCCCGTTTTTCATCCTCCCCGCGCGCGTTCCGATCCGACATTTCCCGCCTTAGCTTAACCCTCAGACGTCGGAAATACTTTCAATCCGGAGAGTGACGAAAATAGGTCATATTTCACCCCCCTCGCACCCTCTCGCGCTCCACCTCGTTCCTTCTCGTGGCCGTCCCACAGCACGACAGGTTTGTTATTACAAGTTCCAAATGCAGAAAACGCCTGATGAAGCAACTTCTACCGTGTAACTTTTGCCTACCGCAACCTTTTTCTTTTTTTATTTCCATTTTTCTTTCTTTTTTTCTTTTTTTTTTGTACTGGAGAAAAATGACGCAGTCTTTCGAAGGTACGGAGCGCTTTTAATAAGTCGCGACGAGTCGAACTAGTCAACATTCAGGCGCTAAAAGGTATAGCGAACTTCCCGACTACTTTACCGATAATTATATTTCGATGTTGTGCACCACAATCCACTATGAAAGTTTACTATGCCTTTGAATTAAAGAACGCTGCTCCGTCGTGTTTTAAATATACCCCCGTGCGTCACAGCTTAATCACTTCTGCATAATGTTGGAGCAAAGGTTAATGTAGAATTTCGATAAGATATCGACAATAAGAACCCAATAAGGACCCAATAAGAAAATAACAATTAAGATACTATTTTTATAAGCTTATAACAATTAAGATACTATTTTTAAATACTGATTAATAAGCAATTAAGAAAACTCAACAAAGAAAATATAATAATTAAGATACTATTGTTAAATACTGATTAATAAACAGTTTATTATTCGCATAGCGATAGGTATATTATACTGTCAAAATGAATAAACGAATAACGATTTGTTTTGCGAACTTTTACACAATGTAGCGTTGCGCAGCAAATGAAATCAATCTTCGATATTCCATATTTTTGAGAATCAAGATTTATTCATATTTTCCTTTTATTTTATTGGTTCAAGGAATACCGTGCTTCAAACAGGTTATGCAACGTATCGTGTATTTGCAAATTGTTGCATACATAGTTGGATCTAATATTAACTGAATAAAATATCCCGAACATTATTATAAATGATTATTGTTACATAACTGGATTTAGCACTTAATGAAATAAAATATTCGAAAAGGAGAAAGCAATTCTAGAAATTCTAAAAATTCTATTTCTAGAATTCTACAAATGTAGTAATGAAATCGAAATAATATTGAAACATCGAACTATATAACTGTATTGCGCGACTCGAGAACACAATATCGGAATCGAGAGCAACGTGTGCGCGGTATATTATGCACTCGCGTAACATTGCGTCAAATTGGAACAAAACGCGCACTTACTATCGCACAATCTTGCAGGGCGTACGTCTTTGAGTCGCCCTCGTATCTTCCTTTCGTAGATTTCAACGATCTTCCTATCGTCACGCGTCGGGCTTCTGCTTGAGGAAACCTTCTCTGTCTGTCACGCGCCGAGTAAGAACTGTTTTGTTCGTCTGACTTTTGAGTTTTTAATGTTTCCGAGACGATCACTCACTATTGACACGTGTCGCTTCTGATCTCCTCTTGCTTATCGCGCACTATTGGGTAAGAAATTGTTTTGCTTGTTTGACTTTTGCGGATTTTAAAGCTCGAATGACCCCGATACATACATCGCCAATAAGCGAGTCAGAATAAAACCGATAAACATTCGCTTCGCAGAGATTAAATTGTCGTAATCGGTCGAGATAAAATACAGGCGGAAATGTATCAGCGGGATAGAAATTCTATTTTCACGCCGCAGCAGTGTATTCACACGTAGAATGTCACAACCACTGACATTCTGATACGATGCACGAGGGTCAGATGCGACCATCCGCGTACTTTTGCAAGAGGGGGACACTCGATCGCGGTTTTATCTTATTAATTGACGAATGACCTCGACACCAGTTTCCTACTCGGTACAACCGTTCTCAGATCCGAGTGGAATTCTGAGAATCTCGAGGCTTGTACGCAGAACAAACAAACTGATTGGTACAATTAACATATATAGCGGAAATAGCACAAATCACTGCGAGTTGTCTCAATTATCGCGAATGCGCGGAAAAACTATGATTATTTTTCTTAATCCTTGGAATCCCGGATTTAGATAGTGCCATAAAAAGTTATTTTTATTCCGCACATTGCTTATTATTACGTTCGTGTGGCGAAGTAACTATAGGATTCAATTTCCATAAAAAATAAATAAGGTTTAATTGTGTTTAAGGTTTCGTGTATGATATAAGATTTAAAGAATGATCTGAACAATATTGCTCATGACATTAACTAATCGCAACTGTTTACAGCTGATTGAGTACAGTATGTAGATAAATAAAATATTTGCATATTTAATCTTTATTGGAATAATTTTAAACAAAAACAAAAAAGTATTACTGCACTTTTTATCATGGTTTTTATCTGTGTTAATATATGTATTACGGAGCTTTGCGGCCATATTTTTTTCTCTTCTTTGTGTAAAATTATCCTGAGATGTGCGAATACCCTTTTTATCTCGCTGTATTAATGTACAGAATATATGAAATTTCAGTCTTTCCACCACAGCCGCGTTAAATAGAAATCGTAATGCTACTTTGTTCCAAGATTTATTCTTTTCCGTGCATAGAGAAATCTTCTCATAAATATCTTATCATACTTACTCTATCGTAAATTAATCCTGCTTGTATAGATTATTGCAAATCGATAACTGGAGAAGCGGAAGTTTGTTTCACAGTTTAACGGATCACTGTGATATCCTTATGTACGCAACTGAAATTTGATGAACCACTCTTGTTAGCAGCTCTTCGTACATAATGAATGTACGATAAAACTCACTATAGTAGCTTTTCGCAACAAAAGAGTCAATCGTTGCACTCCGCCAGCAGTATTTTTTTTTTTCCTCTTATTTCAATGGACAGTAACCGATCGATTTCATAGACTTCAGAAAAATGAGTAACGTCAACACTGATTATTTCCACTGTATATTATATTCGTGACGTGATGTGTCTTAATGCGATATTATTTCTAAAAAATAACGAAAATATCGCGAAATGAATGCTAGCGTGTCCGCAGTAATCTTCCCGAAAGGTTATCGCGTGTATTTGGGGGTTTATGCTGAAATGTTACGTGCCGCAACATTCTTTTTTTTATATTTCTTTAACTTTCAGATATTGCAATTGTGATGTTGTTGCTAATTTCTTTCTCGAAAATCATGGGTGGTGCGATAATAGTTGGAAAAATGAATAATGGAAGGAATAATAATTTTTCTTTAAAATCTAATTTAATTTTGATACATTTTACACTTGAATACAATAATCTTAATAATATCATATATCAACTTATACTTAATTTATACTTTCAAGATTGGAATCCACAGCTCGAGATGCAGTCTCGAATTACTGTGAGAACGACTGTTTCGTTTGTGAACTCACGTTCGCAGTCTTAAGCCGGGTTGCATCTGTGTTCGTTTAAAATTCATCCAGTCAAGTGGACGATATCCTATTTTCTTCTTAACGCCTTCTTTACTATTACATCGCGTTTCGCACATAACGATTGGACGTTTAATCTCGGCTCAGTGAGCTCGCAATTCGTAGTTAGCACGCGACGCGGAATAAAATGACTGGTGACACTTTGATAACGCAGATGCCACGATACAAATTTTCACCGGGAGAACGGGCAACCTGGACGCCGGGATATAAATTTTCGTTTAAGAACACGTCTGCCTGAAATTCGATCAAGAATCGCGTGCTAAAAATCTGGGACGGCTCATTTATTTTTACGTAATCCCCGTTCCTTGTACGAAACTTGTGTACACGCGCGTTTACACTGAGGCGCAAATCTTTGAATTAATAGAAAGGTCTCGTGGGAAGAAATCAGACATTTTATCATTCTTACTTTGCACCTTTTCTCACACAATTATTTACGATCTTGTCTTATTATTCTCAGCTATTATTGTCAATCTATTTTTCTTTTCAATATAAAAAGTAAAATAAGTATTTAGAAAGCAAAGCGCGTCATTACGTTCCAATTACATAACGCGCGAAAAAGAAGAAAAACCTGTCAAGAGACACCACGCATACATCTTTCTTTACAAGATCGTTTCCAATTTTATCCCATTAATTGCCATTATTATCATTTATCAGTCTATTTTTTAATACAATTGACGACATTTAGAAAGTGCAATGCGTTACCTTATTACATCGAATTACATAATGCGGAAAAATAGAAAAATTCTTCAAGAGACTTTGTGCACATTACATCTTTCTTTATAAAATTGTTTCTTATCTTACTTCATTATTTGCCATTTTTTTATTACTCAGTCTAATTTTTTAATATAATGAACATGACATTTAGAAAGTACGCGTGTCACATCATTATATCGGATTGCGAATTACGTGCGAAAAAAAAGAACAGCCATAAGGGTTGCCGGCGTGCGCTCGTACTCATTATAGGTGCGAATTCGCTCGTTTGGCTTCTCATTACGGATCTTCACGCCTCCGGTTAGCTCGAGCGTGAGGACCGGGGGCGAACAACCCGCGTATACCTATATGTCGATGGCTGGCAGCGGTCAGGCCTCGGGTCTCACCCGTTCATCGGTGATTATAACAACGATGTGTCGGTGGCGCGTATCGAAACCGAACAAATTTTTGGCGTCCCTGTTGTTGCATCTTCGATATTTCGATAGCAACGCGCAAAAAGCGTTCACGCGCGAAATCCTCGTGAAAGAAGTTAATCTCTCGCTGATGATAATCGCGATAAGCACCTCTCAAGTGTGCTTTATGTACATAAATTTAAACGAATGAAGAATTGCTGTAAATAAATTTTGCCATCATTTACGTGTCACTTAATTGAAGTCGGGCGAATCGCTGACGAGATGAGCGGTGTGATGTCATGTTACACGATGATGCTGGATGCTGGAACCGGTGGCGCCGAC